GAAGAAGTAGATGGGTGAACTCCTCCCTATAAAGGTGGCCAGAACCCACTTTCTTTAAAGGTCTCAGGAGGTTCCAAAGTTCTGCCCAGGCAGTATGCTAATCCCTGGGGAGGAGGGCACAGGTTTCCCAATTTATTCAACAATAAGCCCTTGGTGTTCCCTTAGCAATTATGTCCTCCCCATTCAGCCTCCTGTCTGGCTGGTCACTAATAATTTATTGCAAATAATTCGCAATGCTCCAAAAAGAGAGTTGGCTTCTCTGCTTCTGAATTCCTTACAGAGCAGAGCACAGCTGGGCTCCCAGGTAGTCCTCATTACTCCCTCTCTGGACTTGAACCTTCTTTGCAGCCACCTCCACCTTGCACTCTAGCAAAGGGAGGCCCAAGGGAACAAAGCCGGCCCAGGCTACTCACTTCTCTTTCTTTCCCAAGAACTGGGCTATCAGATGCTAACAAAGGAGGGTGGAAGCTTCTGAATCCATGGATGGGACTCGCAGCCTGGCAAAAGCCACCAGAGTTTCTGTCGATAAGCAGGGTTTCAATAGCAGCAAATTCTGTCCATTGCATGTTCCTCAGAGTTTTCCTGTGCAAGGTGGCCTTTTGTAAGGTTTAAGTCACATCTTGAACTCAGGGGTTGGTTCCAAAGGTCTCTGGCAGGAGCTTTCCATATGCCTGCGTGTACATACACCAGCATATGTAATTGTTCATGTGTACATATGGAGATTATCTGACATCAGATAATCTCAATCTTTATTCAGCTTGTTTTTTTTTTTTAAACAAGGTCTCTTCCTGCACCTGGAGCCCACTGGTTAGGCCAGACTGGCTTATCAGCTAGGCCCAGGGAGCCCATCTCTACCTCCCAGTACGCATGAGCCTCCTCACTCAGCTTCGTACGTGGGTGGTAGATATTTAACTAGGATCCTCATGCTTGCATTTACCAACATCAGGCAGCTCAGATATATCAGGCAACTCCAGCTACAAGGGATCCGCTGTCTTCCGGTATCTGTAGGCATACACACACACACACACACACACACACATACACACACACACACACACACACACACACTCATCATCGTCGTCATCACAAATCTTATAAAATTACATTTACAGGTGCCATAGTGTACATGTGGAGGTTAGAGACCGGATGATTTGGTGGAATCAGCTCTCCCCTTCCACCACATGGCTTCCATGAATCAAACTCAGGCCATAAGGCTTAGTTAGTCTTCAGTACCCTTTCCCTGTGATCCATCTTGCTGGCCCCCAGGATCCTACAGGGTGTTGTAGGTAGGCAGGTGACTAGGCCAGGTGATCTGATAAAGTACCTTCCAGTCCGATATTTCTGTGTAGTATGGAACCATTTCACTCATCCACGTGCAGGGTAAAGATGTGGGTTGGTGGTAAAAGGACCCAAAGATCACATCCTACTTCTCTAGTACTTAGGAGCTAGTAGATACAGGAGCCAAGAAGTCTTTCTGAGCTAGATTTCTTGTCTGCAGAATCAGGTGGATAAAATAATGTCTTTACCACATGGGTGCTGTGAGATCCCACACATCAGTAGGCTTTCTAAACCTCCAAGTACTGCTCACATGTCATTGGTAATTGGAAGGCCGTGGGGGCTATAATAATGATGATATGCTTTTCCATTTAACCAAATGTTTGTAGCTGTTGGGTAATATGAAAATGATCATAGCTTGTGGATTTGCTTTTAACTCCTCCCTTCCCAGAGGGACCTGTTGTCCCCTCACTGCCTCCTTAGGGGAGGAGCCACATAGAAAATTCTGGGCTCAGGCTGGAGGCACTTTGCCACCCACCAGAACTCTCTTTACATTGCCAATGTGAAAGCTGACTCTCAGGGACATTTTTTCTACAGGTAATGAAGCCAAGAGTAAATCGAGTCCTTTGAGTCTCAGTGCACTGCATGTAAAAAAAGACAGACCCTCCAGGAAGAATAATTACTTGGATAAACCCTCAACAAATATGCTGATAAACTCACAAAGTTCTTATTATTGCTCAGTGCTAATTGCATTTCCTTGGGTAAGCACCATAAAAAATTCATTGAGGTTTTTGGAAACAAGATAGCCATTGCATTTTAATTGTTGGAGACCAGAGAGTAAGAGAGAGGTTTCACTGGGGAAATGCTAACTGGGAATAAACTCAGGAAGAAATCTCCCCAAACTGAAAGGGTTCAGATCCCCAAGAAAAGAGCTAAGGGAAAAAGCTGAACCCCGTGGGGAGTCCAGCCTTCCTAGGAGCACTGACTTCAGTGGTACTCAAAGTCTCAGAGACCCTGGACAATTGGTCTTTTTTGCTTTTTTTCTGCAGATGGTAATATATAGGTTTAGCTAACTTAAATAATTTAATAATTAGGGACCTGCCAAAATTCTGGAGTTGATGAGTTGGAGTCAGTATCCAGGGCTCAAGAAACATTTATAGAAGGAAAACTGTATTTCTGTTCTGTAACGTGTGTGACAGTGTGCTGGATTTGGAATCACCTGGGAGGCACACCTCTAAGTATGTCTGTGAAGGAGGGAATTTCCAGGGAGGTGTAACTGAGACCTACCTTGTCTGTGCGTGGCGCTACGCCATGGGCTGAGGTCCAAGACAAAAGTACCAACATCATCTCTCCCTGCTTCCTGTTTCCTGCTTCCTACTTCCTGACACTGTAGGACAAGCTGCCTCACACTGCTCAGCACAGTGGACTGTATCTTTTGTCTCTGAGCCAAAATTCATTCCTTTGGTCATGTATTTTGTCACAGCGGTGACAAAAGTAGCTAACACAAAGAGAGGGGAGGAAGTGACCAAGACTACACATAATTTCCATTTAATAACAAAACTCTTTCAATCAGTTTACAGAACTGTCATTTGAAAAAATGGCATCTTGGTCCAACTCCATCTTACTTGCCTCATAGACTCCTGCCTCATGCAGGGCTACTAGAGTTAGCTCAGAACAGGCCCAGTGGAATAGGTGGGGGCAGGGATCCTGACTTCCATGTCTTTACCTGAGCTGGTCCAACCTTGGCCTCATCTGCCCAGGAACTCTTGGGATAGGGTATCCTCTGCAGTTGGACTTAATCTTCCAGAGGACCCCGGGAGAAAGCAGGGTTCGGGCACCTCAGCATCCTCCTGATAGATGCACATGGAGTCTGGGGAGGGCAGAGGGACTGTCTCCCAGGTGCTTCCAGAAGCCTCTGATGTGGCTTCTCCGCTTATCCCCTCCACTCCCCATCATTCCCACTCCAGCCCCAGCCTCTCTCCTGCTGTGGAGGCTCTCAGATGAGAAAGAATAACTAGCAATCAGAGCCTTAGGAGAGGCCCAGTGACCCAGCTGCTGGCCCTCAGTTTGGGACGATCCATGGGAGATCCTTAGTTCCGCATCGGAGGTGGCAGCTGCTTCTCCTGTGGCTAGCGGACCTGCCAGGGAGCCAAGAGACATAGGCTTCTGTGTAAAGAGGCTGAGGAAAACAACAGCATCTAGAGCCAGGCATCACAGCATGGCTCTACCTCATGCTAGCAAGGTGACTTTTTTTCCTTGAGACAAGAGCTCAGACTGGTCTTGAACTCTAGCCAAAGATGACATTAAACTTCTAATCCTCCTGTCTCCATATCCTAAGTGTTCAGATTATACGTATGCACCACCACGCCCAGCTTATGAAGTGCTGGGGCTCAAACCCAGGACCTTTTGAATGCTAGTCAAGCATTCTCCCAGCTGAGCTACATCTCTAGCCCCTCCCCATGACTTCATATTCACACATCACATTCAGAAGGTAGACTTGTGTCTGTCGAATGAACCTACACATTTCTGCTGCTCTAGGCTTTTTAAATAGGATTTGATTATGAATGCACACTCCATAAGCTCTAGAGCAGTGGTCCTCAACCTTCCTAATGCTGTGACCCTTTAATATGGTCCCTCGTGTTGTGGTGACCCCACAGCCATAAAATTATTTTTGTTGCTACTTCTGCAATTTTGCTACTGTTGTAATGTAATATTCAATACATTGCAGGACATCTGATATGGGGCCCCAAAGGGGTTGCGACCTACTGGTTGAGAACTGCTGCTGTAGAGTGTGCCAATGGCCCTTCACTCAACCTTGGGGAAAGATGCTGTCTACTACCACAGCTTGTGGGAGACTACTTAACACAAATACCCTACTTTTTCAAACTTTTGTGTGGTGGGGGAGCTGGGGGGTGAATATGAGTGCACATTGGGACATGTGGGGATGAGTGTGAGTGTCAGTGGACAACCTCGGGTGTCAGTCTTGACCATTCACACAGTCTCATTAGCTGCTGACAACACTAGGCTCTGCCTCCCATCTTGCTGTAGGAGACAGATACAGTCTACACTCTCCTATGACACTCCCCAGCACCCACACACAGACACACAGGTTATGTGAGTTCTGAAGATTTGAACTCCTTACAATTACATGGCAAGCACTTTGCCAACCTTGCCATCCTGCCCAGCCAAATACTATGCTTTGATGGGCACTGTCACACTCAGTCGCCTCCTTAAACAGATTCAACCAAGGGTCATGCAAGAATTTAACCGCCAGATGCTGAAACTCTCTCTGGAGAGTATGGATGTAGCCAATAGTAACTGTTTTAGAGACCAGAGGTGAATGATGCTGGAACAGATAATAGATCACACTGTGTTTACTCACCCCAAGCCTAGCCAGGCTCAACACAAGTTCTACCTCTTTTAATCACCACCAAAGAGTAAAACACAGCCAGGGTGGTTAAGACCAGAAAGCCTGGGTTTACCAAGGGTAGGAACTTGCCCAAGGTCACTCCTAAAAGGCAGATTAAGGTCACAGACTCAGTCTACCCTTTCCCAGCTAGTGCTTAAATTGCTAGAAACCCAGTGGGTTCGTGTTATAAGTGTCCTTTCTTTCTCCTCCCACTCTGGCAAACATCCCTTAGTCCCATTTCTGATCTTCAGAAGGTCCCCAATGTCCTGGGGCAGGTCCTTCAGAAACTTGGGCTGCTCTACTGCTCCACACTCACCCTCACAGTGTCGTGGATCCAGTCCAGGAACTCAGCCACCTTGGCATAGACACCTGGGCGGTTGGGCTCTGCACAGCCACGACCCCAGCTGACCACCCCTACAAGGTGCCACATGTCGCCACTGGGACACACCAGGGGTCCCCCACTGTCCCCCTGAGGAATCCAGATGTGAAGACAGAAAGAAACAGCAATCAGACCCATCTGGCAGATCAGCACCAGTTCACCATGGGAATGGACTCTCCTGGTGGAGAGGGAGGCTCCTGCTTCCTGATGTCATACCTACTGGCCTCATGTTCCACAACCCCTTAGGAAGAACTCCCGAGGGAGTCTGGCTTCCCCAACCCATGTGCGCTAACCAGGGAACCAAGCTGATGCAAGTCCCCTGCTCCCACCTTCTACCTCCAGCAAGTCCCGTGCTCCTCCCCCCACTACCGGCCACACCTGACATGCATCTGCCCTTCCGTCCAGGTAGCCGGCACACAGCATGCGGTGTGTGAGCGCCCCACTGTACATGCATGAGCTGTTGCAGAGGTGGGTGCTGAGCAGGGGTACCACTGTGTCCTGCAGTGTGTCTGAGCTATAAGCTGTAGACACAGAGAAAAGATGAAGGGTACCAAACCAGGCCAAGAAGGCAGAGCATCAAAACAAAGATGAGTCAGAGGTCCTGAGGACACAAAGACCCTAAGAAGGAAGCTTGGGCAGCATTGTGGACCTGGGCAGAGGATAAGAGTCTGCCCAGTGCCTAGCTGGGAGCGAGGGAAGGAAGAGAAAGACACGGTATACCAAATGCTGAAGTAATGGTGCTCCTGGGACCAAGAGCAGGGGAGTGAAAGGGCCTGGGCTTGGTGGAATGTCCAGTGGTTGTTCTGCATAGGAATACTCAGGCAGGAAAGACTGAATACCCCGACTACCAAGGAGGGAAAAGAATGCTATTGTCGGGTGACTAGGGGAAGGGGAAGGGCTGTAGTTTGGAAAATACCTCTCCCTCCCCATTTTATACTGAGGGCCCTGGGAGCTCACTCACTATGGCTGGGGTCGGTGTGGCCCCAGCCAGATACCCAGCACTGCGACCCTCTTGGAAAGTGCTGCTCCTTGGCCGGCAAGCACACAGCACCCACAGTGTCTGTGGAGAGACACAGTTCCGGTCCTGACTCAGGCTGGGCTTCTCTCCTCCAGAGCCTGGGTGTAGATCCTCCTCATCCCCTTCTCAGGAGTCCTGGGACCTGGCCTCTACCACCAAGCTTACTAGACAAAAACAGAGGTTGAGCAATGTCCCACCTTGGGGATGAAGGTATGGCGCCCCTAGAGGTAGGCAGTATATTTACTGCCCTGCCCCAACGTGGGGGCTAGAGGGAGAATGGGAAATTCTTCTGACACTGGATACCAAATTCTAATGACACCCATTTGTCCTTTTTTCCAGAATGTCTGATACTTCTTGGAATTATATTTCCAGAAGTGTGTAACATATTCTATGAGTGGAACCAAATACATTTTTAGGGAGCATATTGACATTCCACAACATAAACATGATTCCCTCATCACAGTTGTTACAAGGGTTGAGGAGGGAAAAGATTTAAACAAATAACAAATCTCTTTTTTGCAATGTATCACTAAGTGGCTGAACCTGGGTCCAGGCTGGGAACAAGAGTGGAGCCAGCTATTGGCAGAGAAGACACAAGTGAAGTTCTGGTTGGGACCTCAAAGCAAATCCCATCTCTGCAGCCCCACTATGAAAAGAGCCTGAATCTTTTCCTCCAAAGAGCTTTATAAGTCTTATTGCAATTCGGTCTCAGAAGAATGCACACCCTCTGTGATTCCCCAATGCACTGAAGGGCTTAAGATTTGCAATACTACAGGAAGCCTCAGGAATCAGTTCACCCTTCCGCCCACACCCACCGGTCTCTGCTTCTTGGTCACTCCTGTACCCAGCCTGCTCATCCCAAGGCCTGAGTCTCACCTGAGAAGTTGAGTGGAGTCCGGAGCTGCAGGAGAGCCACATCATAGTCGTGGTTCTGGGCGCTGTACAAAGGGTGGGGAATGATCTTCTCCACCATAGTTCCCTGGTGATGTCGGACAGCACTGTGGCTGACCAGCCCCACATGAACCCGCCAGCTGGACAGGCGGGACAGTCTGAAACTGCACACAGAAACCTCCTGAGCCCAGGGAGGCAGAGGCAGGGAAGATTAACACAAGGAAGGTGGTGGGTGGAGGGAACTCTGGAGGGAAACCACTAATGGCCACTGTCACAAACCTGTGAGCTCCCAGGACCCAAAAACCATGCCTCTTAATATTATCCCCAGCAGCTGGCAAGACACTGGGCTGGAAGATAGTTCAGTCAGCAAAGTGTTTTCCCCAGGCGAGCATGAGGACCTGAGTTCGAATCCCCAGCCCTCACATAAAAAGCCAGGCACCATACCGCATTATAGAATCTAACACTAGGAAGGCAGAGACAGGCAGATCCCTGGAGCTTTCTGGCTTACCCACATACCTGCACACAGACACAGACATGTAATTAAAAGTAAAAATGAATCAGGGCTGGAGAGATGGTCAGCGGTTAAGAGCACTGGCTGCTCTTCCAGAGGACCTGGGTTCAGTTCCCAACACCCACCTGGCAGCTCATAACCACCTGTAACTCCAGTTCCAGGGGATCTGACACCTTCACACCAATGCACATAAGATAAATAAATAAATAGAATCTTGCAGAATATTTATAATAAAATAAAATAAATCTTAAAATGTATAAGGTGGAAAGCAACTGAGGAAGTCACCCGACACTGATCATGTATGCACATGTGCATACATACCACAAGTAGACACACACCTGTGCATATACAAGGGGGCACGCATACACACACAGAGGAGGGGGGACATAAAGCAGCAGTCTTTGAGTTGCTACTGCTCTTCATGCAGAACTGAACTTGGCACTAAACAGGAACATCACCCTTGCCTCCTTGAAGACAGACAGCTGGCCGCAGACATTTCATTCAGGACATACCAATAGATGAAGAGAAAAGGTGACTCACCTCCCATTCACTCCCAAGACTTACCTGTACATGCAGTGGGCAGCAGTCACTACCCAGTGGGGTGCCAGCACAGAGGCCCCACATGTGTGCCGGGAGCCAAGCATCACACTAGCTTGCCATGGCCATCGCCCAGAAGCCACAGCCTGACCACCAACTATTCGAGAAGCCAGAGGTCTTGCTCCACACTCTGCCAACAGAAGTGGGTAGGATAGAAAGGGAAAGTGGGCAGTCTGTGTAGACAGATCTCATCTATTATTCCTGATTCTAAGTAGGGGGACAGGAAGATGAATGTATTGATTACTTCAGCCTGTGCACCTGCTGAGAGCTGGGACCAGGTCTGTGGAGCTCTAATG